CCCCAAAACCCCAAAACCCCTTTTAGCGAAAATTATTATAAAGGAGAAGGTTAATTTTATAAAATCTAAAAAGGCATATTTATTAATAACTATAATTTAAATCATTTGATTTTTTTAATGAAAAGTAAAGAGAGATAATTATTCAAGTAATACAAAAATTCAGGAGTGGATAACATAATTGGAGATAAAGTTGAAATATCTGAGATATAATGCCATTTAATACAGACTTAAACTGATGAGACAAGCATAAAATTGGAAACATAATATTCCCTCCATCCATTGAGATGGTGGCTCCAAATATTTTATGCAATGGGACTCCTTTCTGATTTATTTTTAATGATGGGATTCAGTCCAGTTGCCTCAGTTATTGCAGATACATTTAATTGTAATAAGGTTATCATTGATGCCCAACCATTCGTATACCTTATAATGTTTGCACCTTGCAATTTTTTGGTTATCTTTGTGCTTAATAAATATGGGTTGAGAGCTTGTGTAAGATTCACCATATTCAAGTTAATAGTTATTAATTGGAGCTGTATTTACTATTATTGGTTGTTGGCTAAGAATGCTTGTACTAATTTCTGGGAATTTCTACCTTATGTTTCCTGGAAATATTCATTGTGGAATCGCTCAAGTGTTCTTTCAAAATACTGGAGGCAGACTTGCTACAGTATGGTTTGGGGATAAGGAAGTAATTTTTTATGATTTTTAGAAATTATAGAGGGCATTAGCAACTGCAGTTGGAGGATTATCATTGCCTATAGGATGCTTAATGGGATTTATTGTTCCAGTACTATTTTTTGGAGGAAATGGGAACAAATAAGAAGCTTTTAAGAAATACATTTTGGCTCAGAATATAATAGTAACTGCTCTATCTGTGCCAATTTTAATAGCAGCAAGAGAGAAACCCCCTCATCCGCCATCGTAATAAAATTTATATATTTAAATATTATTTTAGTTTATCAGCAACTAGAAAAGAACCGAAAATCAATTTATGGAAAGAGTTAAGAATATTGTTAAACAATAAGAGCTATTTGCTTCTTTGTTGTTCATTAGTTCTAACGCATTCATTATTCACTACTTTAGGAGCAGTAATCAGTACCATTACTAAACCATTTGGATACAAGCCTATTGATAATAGCATATTTGGTGGGGTTTTCATTTTCTTCGGATTGATTGGATCTGTTGTTTTTGGAATATTACTTGATAAGTATGGCAAGTATAAACTTACTACAAACATTATTTCCCTAGTAGTTAGTGTAGCTGTAGCACTCGCATTTTGGACTCTACCATCTTAAAACATTCCTCTCTTAACTGCTAATATTGCTGTGATTGGATTCTTTTTAACTCCAATGCTCTCAATCAGTTATACATTTGCTGTAGAGCTAACTTTTCCTGTGCCGGAATCCATCTCTACTGGAATGATGGTAATGGTTGCAGAAACCTACGGATCAGCATTGGTAAGTAATTATTTAGACTTAATGAATAATTTAGGGCATTTTGACATCTTTCATAATCTCTAAATATGATAAAATCGGAATAATGTATATAACGGGAGCATTCTTGCTCTCCTCAGTGATAAGCCTGATATGCACCTATTTTATAAAAGAAGAATTAAAGAGAATAAAGCCTTAAATTGATATGTAAAAAGATAATCAGAAAGTAATTGATTCAAAGGATTAGTCAATTTCTTATCAACAAGATACTTCTCAGTGATA